GGGACCTCTTGAAACTGAGAAGCTTTTGTAGAGCAAAGGACACGGTCAACTAGACAAAGTGAGAGCCTACAGAATGGGAAAATGTCTTCACCAACCCCATATCTGACAGAGGGCTGATATCCAGACTATATAATGAACTCAGGAAATTAGACATCAAAATGCACAAGAGTACAATTAAGAATTGAACTATAGACTAAACAGAGAATTCTCAACAGAGGAACCTCAAATGGCTGGAAGACATTTAAGAAAATGCTCAACATACTTAATCATCAGGGAAATGCAAATCAAAACAACTCTGAGATACCACCTTATACCTGTCAGAATGGCAAAGATCAAAAACACTGAAAACAGCTTATGCTGGAGAGGATGTGGAACTACGGGAATGCTGTTCCACTGCTGGTGGGAATACAAGCTTGTCCAACCACTTTGGAAATCAATATGGTGCTTTCTAAGAAAATTGGGAATCAATCTCCCCAAGATGCAGCTATACCACTCGGGCATATACCAAAGGAATGCTCAATCATACCACAAGGGCACTTTCTCAGCTATGTTCATATCAGCATTGTTTGTAATAGCCAAAACCTCGAAACAACCTAGATGCCCTTCAACTGAACAACGGCTAAAGAAAATGTGGTACATATACACAATGGAGTACTACTCAGCAGAGAAAAACAAGACATCATGAAGATTTCAGGCAATGGATAGATCTAGAAAAAAATCATCCTGAGTGAGGTAACCCAGACTCAGAAAGACAAACATGGTATGTACTCAGTCATAGAAGGATACTAGATGTAAAACAAACATGATTAGACTGCTGCTCACAACTCCAGAGAGGCTACCTAGAAAAGAGGATCCTAAGAAAGACACAGGGATCACCCAATGACAGAGAAATGGATGAGATCTACACAGACAACCTGGACATGAGTGAGAGTATTGAACGGCAAGTTTCAAGGGAAAAAGAGCTTAGGGGAGCGGGAGATTCCAGATGGATCAAGAACTGATAGGAAGAACAAGGAATAAGGGACCATGATAAATGAAGACCACATGGGAATAGGAAGAAGCAAAGTTCTAGAGAGGTCCCCAGAAATCCACAAAGATATTGCCACAATAGACTACTGGCAATGGTTGAGAGAGTGCCAGAACTGACCTACTCTGGTGATAGGATATCCAAACACCATAACTGTCGTGCCAGAAATCTCATCAAATGACTGAGGGAAGGGGATGCAAAGATTCATGGCCAGGCCCCAGGTGGAGCTCCAGGAGTCCAATTGGTGAGAAAGAAGAGGGTTGTATGAGTGAGAATTGTTGAGACCAAGATTGGAAAAACACATGGACAAATAGCCAAACGAATGGAAACGCATGAACTATGAACCAATAGCTGATGAGCCCCCAACTGGCTAAGGCCCCCTGGATAAGTGAGACAGTTGATTAGCTTGATTTGTTTGGGAGGCACCCAGGCAGTGGGACTGGGGCCTGTCCTTAATACTTGAGCTAGCTGTTTGGAACTTGGGGCTTATACAGGGACACTTGGCTCATCTGGGAGGAGGGGACTGGACCTGCCTGGACTGAATCTACCAAGATGAACTCAATCCTCAGGGGAGTCTTTGGCCTGGAGGAGATGGGAATAGGGAGTGGGCTGGGGGGAAGGCATTCATCTTTTCTTAGAAGTGTTCATTGCAAAGAGTCATTGGTCTGGTTCGAAGCCTTTGGTTTCTGCTGTCTTAAAAATGCTGGGCCCTCACTAAGGCTCCTCCTGGATATCCAGTTGTTGCCCTGTATTTTAGAGATCCTGAAACTTTAGGTGTACAGGCCAGGACCCATCACAAGCTCCTATAGATCATAGATGGGGTGGATAGTGGAGCAGGCCAAGTCATATCCTTGGGTCTGGGCCTGGAAAGCTCTAGGACTGTTCCACCAGATGTCAAATTTGGACAACCCTCCCATGCTTACAACTTTTGGGCTGGTTCACACACACCTGCACTAACAAGGATGGCTCCATTGTGCTGCTCTGTCGAGGCCGAGGGCCTGCTCTTCCAAGTGTTGCACTGGTCGGGGTCAGGTATAGCTCTCCCTCTCCTATGACCACAGAGGCAGCTCCCCCACGTGCCCTAGATATTGATGGACATGGGTGGAGGTAGGCAACTCTCCTTCACCCATGCCACCTCAAGACAGATGGGTAATAGGAACAGATCTCCCATGCTCACAATTTTTCAGCTGGCTCATCCATATCTGCACTAACAAGGTTGACTATTGAGCTTTCCTCCTGAAGTATAGGATTTGCTCTCCCTAGAGTTGCAGCTGATGGGGGTCAGGGATAGTTCTCCCACTCCTTTGACCACAGGGCGTGCTCTCCCTTGTTGTGGGATGTCCTGTATGCTGTGAATATATGTTGACATGATTGATAAATAAAATTCTGATTGACTGGTGGTCTGGCAGGAAAGATAGTTTAGGTGGGACAAAGAGAGGAGAATGCTGAGTGGAAGAAGGCTAAAGAAAGAGTGCCAAGCCTCGGCTGCAATTCATGACCAATTCACGCCTTCAAAACCAGTACCACGTGGATGACTTTCACACCACCAAGTTTGACTGCCATTGAAATACAACTGCCTCTGGAATACAGCATCCGTGTGCTCGCAGGAAACACTTCTCAGAAGATTTCAAGTCAGCAATGCTGGGTTCTTCTTAATCACCTCTAATTTCTCAACTCCAGCCAAGCAGCATCGAGTATCCCAGTAAAACAAAGGTTTCAATTCAGTAGTTCAGATATTTTGTTAATCGTAGCTGATTATTCAGCCCCAGATCACCAGGGCCACAAAATCTTAATTCAAAATAACAAATGGCCCCAATAAACACTTTAAACTTCCCTCTGAAATTTCACAAGCCAGGTTCCCATCTTCTGCATTGCCCTCAACATTCTTATATTCCAAGCTACTATGGAACATCTCGCCAAGTATTAAACACTCAAAGGATTTTCTTATACAATGTTCCAAAATACCTCCATGGTCCTCCTACAAAACAACATGCTCAGGTCTAGTAAAGCAAGACCCTACTCCTGCTACCAACATGTCTTAGTTAGAGTTTCTTTAGCTACCATAGAACAACATGGCCAAAATCCCAGTTGGAAAGGAAAAGGCTTATTTTGCATACACTTTCACATTTGACTCCAACATTGCAGGAATCCAGGATGAAAATCAAACAGGAACTGAGGCACAGGATATGAAAAGGTGCTGCTTACTTCCTTGTTCAGCCTGTTTTCTTATAGAACTCAGGACCACCAGCTTAGGAATGTCACCACCCACTTTGAGCTGGGCCCTCCCAGTAAATCACTGATTAAGAAAATGCCCTATAGCTGGATTTCATGAAGATATTTTCATTCTAAAGGACGGGAGGCTTTAAGACAGGATTTCTTTATGCAGCCTTGGCTATCCTGTAACAACTGAAGACCAGGCTGGCCTCAAACTCACAGACATCTGCCAGCCTATGCCTCCCAAGTATTGGGATTAAAGGTGTGCACCACCACCACCAGCTTTAAAACATTTTCTTAATTGAGGTTCCCTCCTCTCAGATGACTTTATTTTGTGTCAGATTGACAAAAAATTATCCAGTGCAGGGTACCTGAGCTGAAAGGAAAAGTGGATACATGCCTCATTCCAAACCCAGAAGCAATATCCAGTTGATACCCAGCTGCTAATGAAAGTTTAGTTTCCTCCAAAGGCATCTCACTGGGGAAACCAACTACTTTGGAGGGTAGAATGCATGTTCAACAGTAGATGGCAACAGAAAATGAACTCAATGGCATCTTTGGATGTTTGTTATCTCACAATATCATGTGAGGGTGTTTTCCTTTTTTTTTTTTTTTGTTTCTTTGTTGTTTTTGTCTTCTTATTTTTTCTTCTCTCAATTTACACTATGGGTTCTTTGAGTATGTACAATGGCTATCACTATACGTTTTGGTGGATTTGAGTGTGCAAGCAAGTGGGTCTTTGATTCATCTGACTTTTCTTGGGCTCCTTTACTTCTCTTTGTTTATTTTGTTTATTTTGATGTGTTATTTTTATCTTAGTATATTTTATCTTAGTGTATTTTATTTTATTATTATCCCATCGAAACCTGTTGATTTTCTAGTGAGACACAGAAAGGGGTTGGATTCAGATGT